GTTTGACCCAGAAGTCGGTAAGGAAACATCAAGCATGATCGGCAATAACTCTATTATAGGCAGTAATTGCATATATAAGTCCGAACAGTGTACAAAGGACCAGAAGCCATTACATCTTGATTCCAAGCGACGCTTGCTACTAAGTCGTCCTCTGGAACCTCACACAACTGATTCACTGCGCCCGTCACAGGACACCACAGGAAAACCGTTCTCGCTAGTCCAACGGCGAGTAAGTTACAGCTCCTGAGAAGGGATCCTAAGTCCCACATGCCCTCAGCACAGTGGCAAACCCCCAATCCACTAGATTAAGGTAGAAATCGTCCTGGAGATTGGGAGCATCCAATACCTTGGCCGGGGCCTACAACACATACGTTGGACTGGAGACTCCTGCTACTCACAGTCTACGCGAGAGATCTTCCGGAGAGGCTCGGCGTAACTGAGCCTTTTCCTGTTATTTCGTGGTACTGGATGAAGTTCCTTAGCTGCACTTAGGTACTCAGCGTCGCTCTGAGACGGAACCATCTCTATGTTAGCATAACACACTACAAGTCCCCAGAGCCGCACGCCTGGTTCCCACCGGACTCACCGAAACCTTCGATTCGCCTCCACCTAGAGTCCCAAAGAGGCACGGCTTCCCGATGGACATGCCATGGTTCTGTGACGACGACCCGTCTTGACTGAAATTCCAAGAAGTTGCTCAGATATCCAATTCTTGTGTCGAGTACTTATAGACTATGCTTCGGGCTGTTGGTGTCAAAGACGATGCATCCTCCGAGTTCCCTGGCATGTCCGGTGACAGATCAAAATCCAACAGCTCCGAGCAGAGTGCTTGCATGTAGGATTCTCGAGACGCTTCTGGAACGAAACAAACATCATGCCATCCAATGGGGTAGAGTCGAGAGAGCAATCACCGTAAGATCGGCGGCCATCGATCCTTACCGGCTCTCATATTCTGAGCATCTGCGGCGGAGTGTCCAGCTGACTGAAAGAGGCCAAGGACCATGAGAGCCTCAGAGGAGGGCTTGAGCATCACCTGTCTTGCTGCTGCTGCTGCATCACTCCTCCAGAATGCGCCATTGCGATGAAGCTCCCCAAGAATAGCGAACGTCGACTGAAAATGATCCATCTTTGCGGCACAGCAATCAAGGAAGCACTTCCAAACGCCCACCTGGAAATCTCGTGTGTTCCCAGCGACCGGAGGGATCTCATGCGAGAACATCGACTGCCGAGTACGACCGGATGGGGCCATAGGAGGGAGTCGATAACAGGTTCGCTGAGGTGGGATGAGGGTCGAGGTATGCGGCTTTCCGAGCACCCATATGATCCACGATTCCTCGTCGTAAATCGCTCTCGAGTGAATTCTTATAAAAGTCAAAGACTTGTATAGGAATTGCATGCCTTGACCTCCTAAGGAAGTTGATCACTGTCAGGAGAGAATACTACTCACGGAAAACACTATGTAGAGACAACTTGTCTCCGTATACTGCCTTGTCTGAGACAAGGCGGTATACGGAGAGAGCGACTACTGCAGCATCGAGGAACGATAATGCAACATTCGCTGTTCTAGAGAAATCTATGAATCGATGGTCTAACACATAGATCACGGAGATCTGTATAGGGCACGACCAAGGCCCTTTCGGAGGGATTCGGGAGATTTGCAGAAGTCCGAGTGGGATAACCGCCTAAGGCGAGGCTTGTGTAAAACGCACTACATATGATGGATGAGGGAGGCGCAAGCAGGCGTGAATGGATAGACCAGAGTTAAACATACTGTGATGCTTCAAAGGATGGTGACTGCTCGTAGGTATCACCAAAGGATGATGGTCGGGTGTATGCAGACCCATGAGCGCCTTCATGTCAATCGAACCCGACTCGGGATTCAGTACCATATACCTACGCTGATCACAGTCGCTGAGCAGCGGCAAGACTTGTGACCATCCGAGTGCACGATTTCCCGAGGACATGCGTATTAGACACTACCCGTCTTCATAGGAGTGCCGACCTGGTAGATCCGACCAAGGCAATCTAAGCATATCCTCTGGAGATTGAGTCCAGTGATGATCGTGCAAATATCTACAAACTGCTGCTCCTCGAATGTTAGTGAGGGAGTTTCACCTGGCCCTCGCAGCATCGAACTGAATAGGAGCAGCTTGACTCAATTGATTGAGCATATGCAATGCTCGTTGGGCTGACTTCACCGCGGTCTCAGCCTCCAACTACAATCGTCGTCGTAGTTAGAAGATACTGGAAAAGGATGCTGACCTGACTTTTGAATGCCGCATTGTTCGCAGCGTATGCAGCGATTTTGGCCAGACCAGGTCCCTGTAGGCCGTATTTAGCATCATCATAGAGGATTGTCTTGGTCATGAGTGAATGACCGTCGAAAACATCCATTCTGATTGACAACAAGAGCAGCACTTTAGCTAGGAAATTGGGGTATGGCAGGACACTGATAGAGTTTGCGTTCGAAGGCTCATCGTGGCTCATGTCACGGCACGCTGTACCTGTGTCGAAAGATGAAGATCATTCTCAAACTGCCTATACTGAGATGACTATGTTATCGCAATTAGACCCAACATGAGTTGCAGCGGCAGCTGCTGGACGATGATCCTCATCAACGTTGCCGGCAGAGCGGAGATGAGCACATAGCTGAGGCCGTAGCTGCCGTACTACTCCCGAAAACTTGGGTTAGGAGTCTTGTGACCAATACTCCAGTGGCTCGATAACAGATTCGGAGAGCTCCAGAGGCGCACTGGTACGTTGTTGCTTGTCCAGAAACTCTGGGAAATTATCTTCGAGTGGGAGCGTGTGCTCGCACTGTTTGATAATCACGCTACGCCATCCCGACATCACTAACTTGCGATGCATACAGGTTTGTGAACTTTCCTCACTGCCCACCGAACTAGATCGTATGACATTATCTACCTTCTACAGCAAGTGACCTGGTTGGCTCCAAGAACGAGAATGGAGCTCCGTGGGCTCGATTGGTATCATCCATGGCGAATGCCTCATGGAGGAGCTCGTCATACTGTCTTGGTCTAACTACAGCAGACAACCTGTTCCAGAGTGTCCAAAGTCGGACACTCAAAGAGTACAGTGGAAATTATCAATGTTACTGTACAGTACTACAATGTATCAAATAACAGCAATCGGATACTAAGACTGGCCGATTGCTCAGGATACCTCCCGCAAACTGGCCCCTCCCATAGCCTCGTGATATCTACGGTAGTGCTAGTTCATCTCTCAGCAAAGTATTGATGCCCAAGGTTCAGGGATAAAGCTCGAGGCATCGTATCCTGCCCATCCTCTATATCCTAGCGTAGTACCATGCGAGTGGCCGAGCCCCCAGCTCCCGAGCCGATGGAAGCAATGATCGGACTCTTCATCGAACCATCAATCTGATGAAGGAAGCAATATGAACTACCCCTCCACTTCTATTTGTAAAGCAAAACGATTTCACATCCGGCGCTGTCGGATCTCGCTTCGCCATCGTGATCGATTCATGCGCATGTTAGCATTATGTCTCCTTCTGTGTCTGTGATCACTATCGCGCTCGCCCTCGGTTAGGGTGTAACGGTTAGATACACTCCCACAGTAGTTGGATGTATTACACTATAATCTCTATTATCTCATTCCTTATGTCGGCGTCGGGTTCCACAGGTCGGGGTGGCAGCGAACTACCACGAGTTGTTATAACATTGGGGGCTTCGATCCGAGAAGGACTCCGCCTAGCCCGTGGTGAACTCGAGCCATTCTTGGTCAACGCCATTCTTCGACCCAGTGACACGTCTATTCCGACGAGTATCTCCGAGAAGATCCCTTTGGTGGATCTCGACGATGAAGTTTCGGAGGACGACCGACGTGCCCTGAGTGATCCACAGTGCGCTGTAGCTCTGTGGAGGGTGGTGCGAGACCAGCTGGTCGACATCGGCGAGGATGCGTTCATAGATGATTGTCCGACCTGGTTCAGCCCGGTTATGGCCTGGGTAGCTCGACACTATATCGAGCGAATGGCCAAACATATCGAGGATGGCAAAGATCTGTCCTTGAACCTCGAGGAAGTGCCCCGCCGGTCGGCTCTGAAGAGCATTATATCATCCGCCAAGAAGGACTCCAGTAATATTCAAGGCCGAGATCGCTCTTCTCTATCCCGAACGGCACTTCCACCGGTCTCTGTGGCTACCGTTCCCAGAACCACGGACTCGAGCTCTAGTGATTTGGAAACCGGGGGTTTCTCTAAATGGTCCAAGAAAGTCCGTGATGTCCATCTTCTCGTCGAGCAACACCTTCCCGGTGATATGTTATACAATGGTAACGCTCCCGCAG